TCTGTTACTGAACTATAACAGAGTCTATTTATACCATTTGCTTATTTTCTATATAGTATATTATATGTTGTTATTTAGATATGATATGACCGTAAATGGAAGCTAAATAGTTGTTTCAAATAGTACTTTCTTTCATTGTTTTACTCCACTCTGAACTTCGCTGACCCTTATGCGTTCGACATCATGTTCTATAATATATGCAAGTGTATAACTGTGTATACTTCCGCATGGTTCCGTATTTTGGAGGTGCATGAGACATCGGAAGTCATAATCCAGTCCTTATTATTTTTTTTTTTTTCATTATTATTATATACTTTATTTTCCTTTTTGTGAAGTCTAGTCTATAATCCTCCCCTTGCTAATTGTATGGACAAGCTTCGCTACTTTAAGCATATGGTCATAACATTATGTTTCGACATAATATAAAAAGTTTCGTATATGCACTAGAATGATTATATCCTCAAACAGATTAAATTAATGCATATATTCCTCTACCCATGAGCTGGTGAACTACACAGCTTTGTTATAAGTGTATATAGTCGTAATTTTGGATACAATATGAAAACCTTTTAGTAACATCAGCCAATGCAGCTTATGCTAGCTGGCCTGAATGAGTGCTTCGTATGACAAGCTAAGATATAGTGCACAGGTGTTCATTTACTTTCTTCACGATAAAGTTTATACTGTTTTCTCCATATTTGTTTGGTTCACCGACCTACCAGCTACAGCCTCATTCCGGTGATCACCTTACATTTTTTTTTTCTTGTCTTAAATTACCAGTATAAAAGAAAGAAAGAAAAAAAAGGTCATAATGTTTTCTGCTACGCCCTTCTGGCCCTCAAGTCCTCGCGTTCTAATAATGTATGAGGTTCTGACAGGGAGTACTTCGAAGTCTGCTTATCACGTGCCAACCTTGCCAAGTAAGCACCATGACCATATTTAGGGATTCCATCAATGGGATCCACACAAAATAAATAGCATGACTCCGTTCTCGTTCGCAATATTTATGTTAAGTAAGATTATTTACCATCCTGTCTATCTATTCAGGCGTGAGCAATCGTGATTACAGTTTTACATATATTTGACATAGTACAGTATTCTGTGACCACTTTAATTGCACAATGTAAAATAAAAATATAAATCATATACCATACGAAAGAAATATTACTTTGATATGCTTTTGCCTCTGTGATAACATAACACTATTCTTGGTTTACGGCAGTTTTACATAGTAAATTTAGGATATAGTACAAGTATATCTTCCAATGTATCAGCTGAAATGAAATATTCACATAGTTCTTTATACCTCATGTTAGGTGGTCTGAATGGCTGCATCACATGACATTCCAAGATGTAGTGCTCAAGCGTTTGCTTGTTTTCTTCGGTACACAGTCTACATTTAGATTCATCTGCACTTCTTGCACAGTGCAGTTGCCAGTACATTCTGTAACCTAAACGTATTCTGACAATAACCACGTCACATGGTCTGGTTTGACTTCGGTGCCACCCATAGGAAGGCTTGCTATCTCTATGCTGATCGTAGTGATTTATAGGACAGCTTTCAGGCCTCTGAGTGTTCGTCAGATCTACTATTTTTTCCTTATGAGACCTTTTCAATATATGTGCAACCCTAGCAAGAGGCATCCCAAGATCTACGATCACAGTATCTTTGCTGCAGACTTCCTTCGCCAATTTCTCTACGTGGTCGTGCTTGCGTATGCCAACATGAGATGATATCCATACAAATTGAATCTTAAAATTGTGCTCTACTGCATAAGTTACGTTACGCTTAATGCAACTCACAATTTCCCCATCGCCACCTGCTTTGAGAGAATTTAGTGTCCGTAGAGCACTTTGAGAGTCACAGAAAACTACTCCAGAGCCCCGAGACATTAAGAATTCCGTTTGCAAGGAGTATACCTGCCAACTCCGTTTGTGTAATGCTGACTCAATTTTGCACTCTCATATTAACTTGTTGTATTTTGTATACAGCGCAAGCGCAACCAGTTTTGTATCCAGTCTGTATGGATCCGCCAGCGTAACACATCGCCCATAAATTCTGTATGTTCCTTTACCGTTGCTAACGCAATTTGTTTTAACACGCAGTTACTTACACTTGTTTGCGATAGACATGTTGAATTTTTCCATGGTGGAATGGATCGACCCTTTGGTATTTTACTAACTGGGACTTTGACCTTAGTAATGTTCATGGAGATTTTGTGTATTAGAGTGATTTAGTCATGTCTGTTTGCGTGATTTTATATTGCAATTGTTTTTGGAAATCTGAAAGATACATGGGTTCCCTCACAGCTTTGACCCAAATATGGTGGAAATGAATATTGTTCTACAAGAAATGGATGGCAAGTTTAGTTCTGATCTCATGTTCACTATGCTGTTCTAGGGGCGTCGACGATACTCCTCATGGCTTTATTTTGCACTACCTCCAAGCTATTTATTTTTGATTCCTTACACTGCAACAAGTGCATTTCATGGTAGTCTA